TGGAGCCCTTTCTGCTGATGCTCCTCGGTTCCCTTTGCTTGCGTGACTGCTCTGCAGCTTTAGTTTGTTTATTCCACTTTTTCCTGCTCTCTCCTTAGGAGCTAAGGAAGGGAACCAGCCACTTGTGCTACTTTAATCACTTGCTGGTGCCAGGGCACGTCCACGGGGTGATTAACGGGGTGCGGCACTGCCATTCATGTGAGCAGAGATTGCACAACCGGGTCCCTTCAGCGCGAGTGTGGGGATGGATGAAGCATGGTCAGGGACACGAGTCTGTGAAGGTTTCTATCTGAGCACTTTGGGCTGTGCATGATAGGAAGGGTGAGGATCTGTTACCTGACTAGTAGCAGGAACAGACACCTCCAGTGCCTGTAGGCTACCCTGTCCATCCAGAACTCCAAGATCACAGACTGGCCTGGGTTGAAGAGACCTTCAAGCTCATCCAGCTCCAACACCTGCCACGGGCAACCCCTGCCACGGGCAGGGACCCCTTCCACTGGAGCAGCTTGCTCCAAGCCCCTGTGTCCAACCTGGCCTTGAACACTGCCAGGGATGGGGCAGCCACAGCTTCTCTGGGCACCCTGTGCCTCAGCACCCTCATAGCACAGAACGTCTTCCTTAGACATATGCCAGCTCCAAGCTAAAAACCACATCACCATGAGCCTGTCCAGTGTCTAAAGCCACAAACTCCACAGACAGCATTGTTAGGAGAACTCGCACCATGCCAGATACAGGGGTTAAGATGCATGCAGCAGATAGATGTGCCTTCAGGTTAGTGCTATAAAGTCAGCCTTAATTATATAGCCAAAACTGCTATCATGGTGATCTTGATACTTCAAGACCCATCAGGCTCTTCATGGAGGCTGATAATGCCACAGGTGCTGCAGTAATACTGGAGAGTTAGGTGGGATTTCTGCCCAATCATTGCTGAAAAAGCTCACTTATCCCAGTTGTAAACTAGGAAGCAAAGGGCAGAGAGGTTCAAGAGCTGCCCAGAAGCACTGGTGGAAAACCTGAAATCTATTAATCCATCCTCCTGCCTCCACAGAACCAGCAATTTAACAAATACCCCCAGAAGGCCTCCAGCTTCTGTTCAGTTATTTCCAAAACAAGAGATCTTCATTCTGGCACAGAAGTAACAGTTAAAACATAACCTGTTCTGCATTGCCAGATAATAGGACTTGATGCACATAAAGAAAATGAAGGTGTTACTTCAAAAGTCAGATAACATCCTTTTGGAAAGATGGGCTGAACAGGGAAAGAAGAGACAAGAGGCAAGTCAAAAGCCCAAGGGGTAGCCAAGCTCTCTGAAAAGCAACAGAGAAGTCAAGGGTAAAGGTACCAAGAAAGAGATGTGCCCGGACCAACTCATGACCATCCTGTAAAGATTTTCCAGTGTATCCTGAATGGCAGCACCCAGCAAACCAACCTTTCCTCCCACCTTCCTTTCCAGGAGGTGATACTGATCCTTGGTAAAGCTATTCCACCTTAGCCCTTCATGGGGCACAGCGTGCTGTGTGGCTCACTGGCCACTTGATACCCATCTGCTCTTGTACCAAATGACTTCTCCTAGGGAAAGTGCTGAGCTTTTGCAAAGTCATCATAATACCATGAAGATATTATGAAGCAGTGAGTGGGTGGAAGAAGGTCCTCCTCAATGTTTTTCCTTGGGGAATGTATAGATTTCTGCGAAATCTCTCAAATACATCACCAAAAAGGACTTAGAAGAAAAATGCAAGGGTTGCCTGAGCCACAGCTGGATGCCTCCAACACCATTGATCTTTCACCAGCACTAACATAACCCTTACTTTTGCCTTTTGGTCCTCCTGAGAGCATCTAACAGGTGCAACTCTCCAATAAATCACGTGTAGGAGCAGGGATTTATGTACAGTGGAAAAGCAGGGAGCACAATCCCTTCCAGTGCCTGCATGTGGGTGGCTTCACCCCTGCCTTCAGGTTCAACTGTCAGGGGTCATCCTTCTGCCACACATCTGGCTGTGATGCTGTGGCTTCATCCAAGCCTCTGCTGGCCTTTGACACTTGAAAGGCTTTTCCCTTTCCACCTTTCATGTAATGAGGCACATGGAGCTGCCATCACTGCACTCACAGCCTGACCCCCCCCAAGCCCCATAGCCTGGGGAAGGTCAGCTCCAAACCTTTTCCATAAGCCAAGCAAACAGTGCTCCAGGATTCCCATGGTGCTGGGAGAGCTCACATTTTCCACTACAGCATCCCTCCTGGGACAAAGCACAGCACTGCTTTTGCTTTTACTGTAAATACATTTGCAGAAGACCACCAGAAAGGAAAAGAACTTTCTAGAAGAGAAACATCTCTGGCTCTTGTCTCAAGATGTAAATGAGCAAAACCACCACATGGAGCTTCCCAAAACACAGCATTTCACATCCAACTTTTGCTTTTCCCCCCTTTCAGAGGTACTACTTTTTCACTGCTTCAACCCAGGAGAGCTCTGGTGCTCAGCCAGCACAGGAGCTACCCACCAGCATCACCCCAGCCATGATCACCAGGCACCAGCAGGATTCCAGGACTCAGAGCACACACTTAAAGGCTGTATTTTTCCTGAATAGATTTCTGCATACATTTAATTATTTTGTTGAACTGGAGCCACTGCAAATGAAGGATTCATTATTCTAAAGAAGTAACTGAGGGTGGCTGCACATTCCTGTACATTTTCAATAGCAAAACACTCTTCGCTCCAAAGGAGGAAGAAAAGCAGGATTTCTCTCCAAAAGGCTCTTATTTGCTCTCAGTTTGGCTCCTTCTTTCTCAGCCCTGAAGGGAGCAAAAGCAGCCTGGACCCTCATCCAGCAGCACCTTAATCCGGCTTTGCTGCTTCTCCCTCCTGCAGCTGCAGGGTGGGATAGATGGGTACACAGGGAAACCCCAGCTCCTCCATCCCTCAGCTGGGACATCCCTCAGGTTCCCACACCCAGCCAAGCTGATGGGAGCATTCTGCCCCTTGCTCAGCACTTCCCCAGAGGAGTTGTGTTTCTCCCCAGCACCAGCAACTTCCTTCTTCCTTTCACTTCCACCTTTTGCCACATTAAAAAAAAAAAATAAAGAAAGATTTCTCTAGAAAATGGTAAGTTTCATATTCCCATAATCTCAGCACTCCTCATTTCCCCATCTTTCAGCTGCTCTCCTCTTGCTTCCTCCCTTTGCATCCTTTGAAGGCTGGAGCAAAAACATCTTGGTGTTCTTGGTGGGGTGACTGCCAGTATCCACCCTCACTGCACAGGCATGGATATCCATGAGGGAAAACATCCCTGAAGTGTCACTGAATCCAAATGAGAGATGCAGTCCCTACTGATCAGCTAAACCATTGCTGTTTATCTAAGCCATATGGGTAACCCTCCCTGAGCACAGTGGGATGAGAAACCAACTTGGAGCAGGGAAAAGGAGGGAATTAAGTCATCTCAAGTGGTCACACCAACGTGAACTATCACCTGGAGACACGAAGCCCTAAGGGGGCTTCCAAGCAGAGAGCCTGTTGGAAGGCACCCTGGGATAGCTTCCCAGGATGTGGCATCCTGGGGAAATTATAGAGGCAATGCAACAGGGACACCAGCCCTGCATCCGCAGCACAACGGGGAGATGCTGCTGGTACCCACAGCAGCTCAGAGGATGCAGCAGGGGGAGCAAGGAGGGAACAATGCCAGAGCCCCAGGGAGGATAAACAGCAGGAGAGAGCAAAAAGGGAACTGGATTGAAAGGATAAAGCACCTCTTATCTACTCTAAACTCTGCTGTGTGTCTTAAACCTGGTGTTCCCCTCAAAGCAAGCCTAGCAAAGTCAGGCCATATGCAAAACATAAAGGAGATCATCACTGCATCACCACCAGTCCCAATGCCTGCCCACAAACCACACAGGGGAAAGCCAGGGCTGTATTCCCAGGAGGTGAAAACTGCTCTCTCAGCAGATGGACATCTAGTTACTAAGCACATCTAAGCAAAGTTTCCCTGATTCGTATCTATTCAAGTGGCTTCATTTTGCAAAGAAATGCTTAATTAGTCACCAAGCCAGAGACCAAGAAGGTATAAACATGGGGCACTCACCTCGATGGGGATAAGATCTACTTTCCACTTCCCCAGGTTGTGAAGGGCTTTATGTCGCTTAGTCGTGAAGCATCAAGGGAGCAAGAAAGGCAAAGCAAAACAGAGAAGCAGGACTATGCCCTTACAACTGTCTGAACTGCTACTAAGGAAGATGCAAAGTGGGCTTCCCTCTCAGGCTTTTGTAGGAGCTAGTAATTAATTACTCTAATTACAAAAAGCTGAACCTCCCCCAGCAGCCAGTCCCCTGATACGACTTCTTCCTTGGGCTGCTGGGAATAGATGGCTCAGAGGGTTCTCCATCACCATTCCAGCCTTAAAGAACAGCTCTGCACCATGCCAGGAAAATGAAAAGATGAGATGGAAAGTTGGGGAAGGGAAATGAAAGAAGAGCTTCGTTATTTTCCACACATTTGAGTTATGCAGATGGGATTTCACAGCATATGGGATTCCAACTGGGGTTTGTAATACAAGAAAAACTGTCAGTGTGTTGCTCAGCCAGAGCGACCAAAACAATCTGGGGTTTTGTATTCTGCGCTTGATAGATACCCTATTTCTTTTCTTTTCCTCATAATCCTTGGTTTCACCAAGGTAATAACTGGCCAGGGAATGAATATAAAGTCCTCATGGGGTGAGTAAGTGCTGTCAGCATCATGGCATGAGGCACTGAGCTGCAGCTGTTGGGGATGTGCACATCCAATGGGAGGGATGCGCACACTGCCCTGTGCTCCTTGAAGTGTGTGGTAGTGGCTGCTCCTGAAAGTACCACCAAAATGATGATAGCAGGCCAGGATCAGTGAGGAGAAATGCTTTGCCATTCCACTCTAGTAACTATTAGACCTGTTAATACAGCCGGATCTGACTCGCCTCCTTCCCAGTGCCACCAGGCAATTCAAGCCAAACAAAGCCCCAAACGACCATTATCATCACTTTTCATATTTATATTTTTGATTTTATTTTTATTTTTTATTAAAAAAACCCCCACCATTATTAACAATGGATCATTTACTCAGCCAGGGAGAACTCTCATTTCAACCTTGTGAACAAAAGGCAGCACGGTTTAAACCCATAGGCATAAACAGAACCCAGTTAAACAGCGAAAATAAAGAGAAAGGTTCAAACTATAGCTTATAGTTATGCAGTTTCCTCAATGTCAATAGAGGGGCTTTTGTTAAAAGCCTTTAAGTCAGAATTCCAGGGGAGACTTTTAAAGCACAAGGGAAGAAGGAAACATGCTCGTTTAAAAATAATTAAATTAAAATGAAACAACCCACAAAATAAACTCCCAAAACAGGAAAAAGAAATTGCTTGGGGAATGGTTAATTCATTCAGCAAATTTACTTCCTCCAGAGCAATCGCTGGTTGCCCAGCCATGGAGTTGGCCCTGGGTGATGTATTTGAACATACACCAATTCCTGCCAAGTCATCCTGGCCCAAATGGCCCAATTCTGGCATTGGTTTGGAGGGGGTTTTCAGTGAGATTATCCCTGGCTTCCCACTCCAGAAGCCTGGAGTCTGCAGTGGCAGTAGGTACCACTGGGAGCCTGGAAAAGGGGCTTTAATTCAGCCCCTTTCAGTCTCCCCCAGTGAGACAGCACCAAGGTGAGCTCTGAGCATCAATGTGAGCTCCTGAACCAGGGCAGAATGAAGCACCTGCATTGCATGAATGTACCAAGCCCCAAACTGCAAAGTTAAAAACTGCAAATTAGTGACTACCTTATAAAACAAAACCAGGCAAAACCTATCCTCAGTCTGGGAACTTTTTAGGTCAAACCCCAAATAAAAATGGTCTTAAAATATATACATATATATATGGCTTTTCATTTTCCCTATCCATTTCATCAGAAACACAAAGGGTGATATTTGGTTTTTAAGAACGATTCTGTCCTTCTCTTCAGCCGGAGCGGATGGGATGGAGGTGCTGACTGTGGTTGCTCACGACACAGCTCAGAATCGACCTGAGTTCTCCTTCATCCTCGCTAGTAACCGGGAGTAAACGGGTGCTGCCAAGGAGAAGACTGAGTTAGGTGGGATATACACACAGCATCTCCCAGTTCCTGCCCTTCCCTGTGATGCTGCATCTTGCTTGGAGCAAGACAAAGGGATAAACCTCTCTTTAAGGGACAGGGACATAAGGTGGAAATTGGGAACAAGCTAGGGAAGTTGTTTTACCTAGTCGAGGATTCCTCTGAGAAACCTGCATAGGAAGAAAACATAAGGTTTGCATTACCACAACTAATCTCTGATAGGTATAAGAACAGTTTGCATGTTAATACATTTATCCCTAGTTTCCGAAAACTATGGATGGATGACTCTCTGTTACTGGAAGCTGACATAGATAGTACAATGCCAAGGCTACATTCAGAGCGCACTGCAAACTGTAGGCTTCCTATTGCAAAATATATTATCTTTTATATAATTAAATCAGGCAAGAAGAGAGGATTGGTCATTCCACGAATGTGGAATTCCGTGCATTCCATGCATACGTTCACTCTCAGCCAAAGTCTGAATGTGCCAATATCTTCCAATCATTATCACCAAAATTTGATTTCAGTAGTTCTACAATGAAAGATTTATTTGCCTTTTACCTTGGATAATGCAGATGCTTGTTTGAAGATTTCTAGTGCGGGATCTGCAGGCTCATCACCTCTTTCTTGCGGCCTGGAAGCTAAGGGTGGAACATAGATAGCATTGAAGTACTCTTCAAAGCACATAGGCTGCTTCCTTCCATCATTTTGTATTGAAAATCTCATAACAGACTAATATACTCACTATACTGAAGCAATCACCGCCCTCCCAAAGCAGCTCTGCTGCAGTGATGTGGCTCTAGATACTTCTACCCGTGGACCTACCCTGTGGCTGCAAGACAGAGTTCACGGCATAAATCACACCATTCGTGGCCATGATATCACTTTCAGCAACGGGCTCCCTGTTGATGTGTATGACGTTGTTTTTCTGGTCAGGAAAAGAAAAACATTTAAAAAGTAGAAAATAAGGAACATTTGCCATCAGTTTTACTAAGAAAGCCCCCTCTTTCTATCCATTCATTTACTGGGTGGCTGCAGGCGTTTTCCTCTTCCAATCAAGAAGAATATAAAACCAAATTATAGCCTGAGCAGTTTGTCCTGGAGGTGCTGGCAGGCTTTGGAGCATGGACTTTCTCCATGTACTGGCTGGGGATGCTGTCCCATGGCAGCAGAGCACATCCACCAGCTCCCTTGCCGCACTAAGAGGGACGGCTGTGGAGATGGCATCAGGAGAGGGCAGAATAGGACTGGACATAGAACAGGTCTAGCACGCAAGTTGGCCAACTCAATGCGCGTGGCAGCACTGCCCTTTCCATTTCATCCTGCGTTTTCTTCCTTATGCACAGCATGGGGCATGGTTATTTATTTTCTGAAGCACATTTTTCAGCTCAGTTGAGGACCCCACATTTTCTTAACGCAGTGCAGAGTTAGTGAAATGAAATTACATATCTAAATAAACCCTGCCGCGCTAAGGGAGCCCATGCAGAGATCATTTTTGTTACGCTAAAAAAGGACGTGCGAGCTGAACAAGCTATTTGTTTAATTTATTTATGCTTTTTCCCCCATGACTCAGGGTTCAATTTATAACAGCTCCTGGAAATCATTCACAGTTGGTCTTCTGGGGAGAAAGCTGAAGCAAACCACATTTCAAGACTGCCAGCTCGCTGAATTGAACACATGGCAATGGGCCCTGAGCTGCAGCCCAGAAAACACTGTTTGGTGGCTCTGCATGCACTAGAAGAGGTTCCCACACCATCCAAATGAGCATAGACAGACTTTGGTCCCTGCCATGGACAGACCACAGCCCTGCTGACCACAAAACCCCATCCAAGGTGACTCACCATGCTGACTTCTAATTTATCTCCCTGCATGGATTTGAGCCTCACAAGGGCACTGACTGCGCCGCTCACCAGGATCTCATCAGCCACATGGAACCTGAGGATGTTGGCGAGCTCCTTGGCATTACCTGCAGGGAGAAAACATTTACATTTGCAAAACAGCATCAGGGCTGGGTTCCCATATTCCGCGTGCTGGAAGGAGATTTCATGGAAAATATCTTAATTTCCTGAAAAGTGCAAGGAAACAATATGAAATTGAAAAGAGCAGGAAGAAGGACCTTGATTAGAGCTGGGTAGAACATTGAGGCCATTCCTGCCTTGGGCAGGTTAGGATCCCAGTGAATCCCGTGTCCAACCTTGGTTCATACCGAGCCTCACACACGAAATCCCTATCTCTTGGTTTTTCAGTCCCTCATTCTCTCACTGTGCACAGCATGAACCTGCTTCTGTTGCTGCTTTCACTTCCCAAATAAGTCTGCGGAGGGGAAAAGACCCATGTGAAATAAGGAAGCAGATAGAGCACTCTGGTATTTGGAAATGTCGATGCTTTCGCCAGCACCAGCGTCACTTGGCAATAATCTCCATGGCTGAAACTGCAGGATTCCTGGGTAGGAAGTGGAAAAGTGCAGGAGAAATGTCACCAGTGGCTCACAGATTGCTGGCCTGATCCCCAGCCCACTGAGTCTTTACTCATCTGGCCATGCTTTGAAACAGATTTTAGGAGGATAAGATGCTTCCCCTTCACTATCCATTTTCCATGAGACAATGATGTGCACAGCCCAGGGCAGCTCTCCTCCATCTTCTCCTTTAGTGGATGCAGCATCAGTGACAAACCCCATATATCGGTGATGGGGAACATCTAGTGCAAAAAGATAGCCTCCAACTACAAAACCAGAGCAGCTCCTTCAGCAAAGGGGATGCTTTCTTTCAATGCTCATACCTGAACACACTCTGAGTTTTTTTCTCCATTAGTTTCTCTGGGGTGGCCTCAGTGCACACTGCACCTCCTCACCAGCATGATTCACTTCTTCATCAGAAACGTAAGCTAAAGATTTGGGTGAAAAAGCAGCACATCTGAAGTGTCTGCATCTGGGATACCTCAGTCCTGCAGCCATTTACACTAGTTGTGAAGTATTTATGTATTAAGCACTAGACTGGATGTGCAGGGTGGAATCACCAGTTCCTCATCCCTGCACTTAAAAGGATAACCAGCTACCACGGGCAGATGCTTCCCAAATTATGATGTCAATGTTTGGTTGGGCTCTGATGACAAGAAGACATTACACTCACATACCTCACATTGTTTCCAACCACAGCTGGCTTTCAACATGAGCAAAATAAAAGGTCATACTGCTTATCCAGAAGAGCATTCCTAAACATTCCCATGCTTTTTCCACACCCAGCCTGCACACCTGTGCTTTTCAGGATATTGGTCTTCGCCTGTTCTAGACTGGGATATTTGTTGTCTTCTCAGGTTCAGACTGGACTTCCTGCTTTGGCCATATGGACGGAGCAACAGCTCCATCCTTTTCCTGCTTAAATTTCAATCAGTGTAACCGGAGGCTGAACGTGGACCATGTTACCATGTTTCCTATTTGCAAACTCACTTTTGACACCCTGATGATCCCTGACAGCCTCATTGTCACCTCTTTTATCCCTGAGAGAGGCAGGGACCTCATCAGTTCCCCTAGAAACAGCTTACACCAGCCAGCACAGCCAAATTAAAGTCATAATAAGTTTGTAGCACACTCTACAAACATGTCTCCCAAGCACAGGGAAAGTATAAACCTGTGTCAGCACTTTGTGTGCTCTCCTGCACATCCTCACCTTTCTGCTGGATATGGCTTACCCAAACCACTTGTGTAGGAAGCCCATGCTTCCAACAGACAGGGTTAGAGAATGAGATATGGCAGAGAAACTTAGGCATTCCTCCCCATATCATGACAATAACACACAGCAGCTCCTGACCGAAATGCTCTAAAAACACTCACCCATGAGTTTGTTCAGTTCCCCTTGGGGCATGGCTCGGAAAGCTTCGTTTGTTGGAGCAAACACGGTGAAGGTACCTGGCCTGTTCAGGTTCTCCGTTAGACCTGCAGACTGGATGGCAGCCACCAACGTGCTGCAAAACAAACATACACGAAATGCTTTGCTATAAACTACTTTTGTTGGACTTTGAAAGTTGATTAAGCAGGAAATGAGCCTGTGAGGTCCAGCCAGAACGTCTGAGAAATGGCAAAGACAACCTGGGAATGCTGATGCCTTGCGGAACAAATGGCAATGAGGGGACAGAGAGGTCTGGCCACAGTGGCTTGGATGGGCAGAGGCTTCGGAGCCAGCTTCTTACTGTATTAAGGGGGACCACACATTCTTGGCTCACAACTCATTGAAGGGTTATTTGAAGTCTCACTCCCTGTAATTTAGGGATGAGACCATGGTTTTGGATGCTCTTTCTATGTTAAACAAAATACATATAGTCATGACTACAACCCATAATAAATAGGAACGGCTTTGGCAGTTCTTCTGCTCCTAACTAGCATTTAGGAAGAGCAGAAAGGTCACCTGAAGCGATGATCTGCCTTGAGAACATCCATCACTGAGCCAGATGGTGGAGTCAGCATTTTATCCACGCTAAAGAGGGTCCCAAACCTTCCTCGCTTGTCATGGGCAGCAATACAGGCATTTTCAATGCAAAGGTTCTGCGAAACAAATTGCAGATAAAAAGACTTTATTAGCATATGCTTCAAAAGGGAGATCTTTATGCTTTCCACAGTGCTCAGTTACACTTTTGACATGCTGGCCATAACATTACAGCCATCGAGCATCATGCAGCCGTCATTCAGAGCACTGCAAAATGCAAGAACTCACATTGCGGTACACAAAAACTCTCAGTTCCTTGTCACCCAGAGTCTGCAGCTTCTGTCCGTGGTAAAGATATTTAGAGGAGAGCTGGTCTTTAACAATGTGGTTCAGGAGCAGGTTTTTCATGTTGCTGTCGACAACGGGGAGTCCATCTGCCGAAAAAAGCATGGGAAGAGCCAGTGATTCACTTAAAATGACCATTGAGACACTCAAGTGTTCAATACAGAGTATTACCCACAGTTTTTAATTGTAAAGTGAGATGCCACTGCCTATAGCTGAGGCATTCACAGGAGGATTTGCATACTTGTGCACCGAAACTTGGCTGAAGACTGAGATTTGTGGCCCAAACTGATGGAAGAAAGGGATTTACTCCCCGCAGTTTACCTTTGAACACCTCATTCACTGGGGCAAGGAGGGTCACTCGCTCGCTGCCAGTTAGATGAGAACTGAGACCAGCTTGTCTGAAGAAGTCCATGGACTTGGAAACTTCAGATTCTTGTGCCAACTCAAACAGAGTCTTAGCTGCAAAGAAAAGGAGACCATCGTAAGCTTGTGTCAAAGACAACCCACACATCACTGCGAATTATCTACATCCTCCAGGTCCAGTATTTCCTTGGCAAAATAGATGAGAGAAAGGCAACAGAGAGATGCAGAGAGGCACCAGTACCTGAGTCTGGGATCAGCAGCTCATTAACAAAATGTACAACGCCGTTGGTTGCCAGGATATCCTTGTTGGCAATGATGGGCTTCCCGTTGAGGGTCAGCTCTTCCCCACTGCAGCCCACGTCCAAGGTGGTTCCTTCCAGAGTCTCCATTGTCAGGCCAGCAATGATAGCCTCAGCACACATGGCTGACTTCAGGATGTGATGGTTCAGCAGGTCTATAAGAGAGGCAAGTGTCTCAGTGAGCTGCAGAAATCAGCTGTGAAATAATGGCACCTTTTAGGGATCCTGTTCTGTACTGTACTGTATGGGGCTCCACTCCAAGAGATGCACAATCATTTTAGACTGTGCTGATTTTAGTTGGGCAGCCTGTGAAATGAAGTGCCTAAAAAGAGTAATTTTCATACATCTTTGCCAGCTTCAAAAGGTTTCCTGTGGTTATTCATGTGGCCATTTGCCAGATTAGATTCCAGTTAGATACCAGTATTCTTGCATCTTGCTGGGTTGATAGAAATGACCATCACATATAGGAGTGCTAAAGGAAAACTTGGAAAAGGGACTGCTTCAGCCCCCTCCTCCATATCTGGATACCACTCTTGCTGTCACATCTACCCATCTACCATATCTACATCCAAAGCAGTCTGGGCTGTCCAGTTTAAAAAGCTGGAGCCTATTGAACCAGTTTACTGCAGTTGTTGTCAGAATGCATCAAGGAGCCACTCAAATGTTCCTGAGAGGGAATGCAGAACCTAACCCCACTCGTCAGTCTCTCCCTGGGCTCAGTGACAAGCACTTACCCCTCAGGGCTTCTGGGTCCCCCAGGATCCTGTTCAGTGTTTCTCGTGGGATCTTCTCAAAGGCTTCGTTGGTTGGAGCCAGGAGCGTGTACTGGCCTTTGCTTTCCAGCAAGCTGTTGAGGTCAGAAGCAGCCACAGCAGCCTGCAGAGGAATGAGGAGAGGGTAAAACACACTCAGCCAGAACACAAAGGTCAGCAACTTTGTCCAGGGCCAGATTTATTAAGGCTTTCATCATTTCAGAACACTTATAAAAAAACCTGAATAGCTTCTTTCAGCACTTCGGTCCCTTTATAAATTTGACCTGGCCCATGGTTCTCTTGTGTTCCAGAAATTTGAGTACAAGAGCCCTATTTTGGCAAGACTGAGAGCTAATTCAAATACCCTGATAGGCCTGGAAAGGGTCACAATAAATTCCAGTGAATAATTCAGGTCAGAACCCACAGCTGGCTAACCGCAAACCCCCTGTGCTTTTAAGTTATCCCTAACTTGGAGAATACCAAGGCACATAAATCAGCACGCATCAAATCCGAGCAGTTAATATTCCCATAGAAGAGTGAGGAGATAGACTCAGCCTATGTCACTTTACTGACAGCAATCGCAGGATGACAATTACTGCCATAAAACCCTACTTGTGCTGATATCAAACACTTCCTAAAGCAAAATAAGGTATATTGGCACAAGGATTTCATCAGCAGCTTATTCATAAGACACTGGCAAGCTCTTTGTGACAATTCACCGGGTGGGATGACTGAACATCTTTAAGGAGCCTGGAGCACGTGTAGGATGGACTCACCCGAAGAGTTTCCAGGCTTTCCTCGGTCTCAATGATGTGCTGAATGCTGTTTGTAGTGGTAGCAATGACTTTGTCGATGACATGGACCACTCCATTGGTGGCATGGTGGTCAGCTTTCAACAGCCTGGCACAGTTCACAGTCACAATCTGCAGAGGGAAAGAGCCACGGGGTGTTATGTGCATTGAAACAAGAAGGTGAAGCAAGCACTGCTGGTTTTCTATTTCAAACACAGCGAGTGCCTTAATACTGAATCAGCAGGAGCACAAATGTGGTGTCCCCCCAAAATACACACAAAGAATGAGAATGCACTATTAAGGATGTTTGGAACATTTGATTGTTAAAGAGCTTTGAAAATAATCAGTGGTTTTGTCTCCACTGAGTCATCAAGACTAAGAAAATATGCAAGAACCAACACTTAGGTAACGTGGGCAACTTCCCTGCAATAGCACTGATGCAACTATTGACTATATATATATATATATATATATAAACTTTTCAAGCTCCTTCTAAAGACGGATCCTAAATTAAGAGCTGCCAACCTGAGCATTACAGAGTCCTGGAGGCCCAAGGACAGCATAGGAGGTACAAAGCAGCAGAAACCCAAGCCTGCTGTGGGTAGGTTTAATGCACGTCTTACCCCATTGGGATAGTGGTGAATCTGGATAGGCAGGTCCTGGTACATCGAGTTAAGCGTTGTCCCGTGTTTCAGATCATCCGTGAGGACTCGTTTGTTCACCATGTGGTAGCGCAGGGCGTTGAGCAGCTCAATGTTAACGTTACTCACTAAGGAATCCAGAGTTTCCTGAAAATGAGAAGAATTCGGGTTTTCGTGCTGGGTGGAATTAAGGCAGCTGTTAGAGAGAGCCAGAAGCTCTCTGGCTGCATCCAGGGTGCTCCCAAGGTGTGTGTGTATTGAGTGATTCATTCACCATCTGTGCACATTAAGAGCTCCAAATTTTGCAGATCTTTTGCCTTACAACAGCAGCCCTGGCACCCTCCTCTTTGGCAGAAAAAGGGATGATGGCAGCAAGCTCCAGTGCGGGACTACTGCATTGAAATGAGCAGTGAGGCGACAAAAGGCATCACTCAGGGCCAAGGACAAATACACCAGAAGACTTTCCCAGCAGCAGCATCCCTACGAGGAGCTCCACTGGTGCAAGTTTGGGTAGAGGCTTGTTGGAGGGGGTAGCCAAAAAGATGCCCCCTCCCTGTCCCAATAGCTGTTCTTACACATCTTGTATAAATTATTAAGAACAACCAGAGGGGTAAAGTAAGGGTCAACAAGAAAAACATAAAAGGGATGGAAAGTCTCTTAACACCATCTCTAATGGTAAGAGGCAGGGAAAGCTAAATGAGGTGATTTCTACATCCACCTGCTGGAGAGCATCCACATCTCTAGTGCTGGGCTCTTTCAGAAACAAAGCTCTGGAGCTGATGGACCCATCAGTGATTCCCATCTTGGAAAATCATAGTCCTTCCTGTATCAGGACTGCGTCTGTTCTGCCAGATGCAGGGGCTGGATGCAGGGCCCTGCAAAGCTGGATCTTCACTAGAGAAAGCCAGAGGGAGAGGAGGAAGAAGAGGAATTGTATCTTACAGCAGGCAAGGATGCCCAGGCCTCATTACTTGGGGCAAAAATCGTAAAGCTTCCAGGTCCTTCGATCTCTGGCCTTAGGTTGGAGCGGTCGGAGTAGAGCTGCGTGGTGGCTGACCCAACAACTCCCAGGGTTTCATAGATGTTGGAAAGGGGCAGCGCTGAAAGAAGAGAAGGTTATATTCCCAACACATCATCCATCCCTCCTGCTCTGTGCTGAGCTAAAGGAGAGCTGCTGGTGAGAACACCTGGGGAAATGAAGCACGTCAGGGAACTTGTATCTCTTCATTAATGAGATAATAAATAATCATAGACTGACAGCTCCAGCCTCAATTACAGCAGAGTAATCCAGGACCTACTACATCTCTGCAGGTTTAAATGGAGTTAGTCTGGGTTTATAGGGATGTGAATTGAGGCAAGCAATGACTTTCACTGCTTTCACCTAATCCTTGTTTGTACACCGGCTTTTGATGCTCGGAGCTGGCAGCTCGCTGCCGGTCTCGGTCTCCACTGGCCCATCCACACCAGCCCACGTGGTTAAATGGGCAGCGTCAAGGAAGTGTTCAGAAAGCAAAGGCAGAATGTGTCTTTCTTCAATAAACCCAGTGAATTCACCAGCGGTTGAACTGTGTTTCCTCCTAAAGGCAATTTTGCTAACCTCATGCTTGCCAAAATAACAATGAACAGAGATTGGCAGAGGTACTGGCTACTCCATCATTCCTTAGGACTGCAGTTCCAATACAGCTATATAACTTGGAATAAGCAGTTCCCTACGGCCCTCCCATGCTTGATTAAGCTTAATTACAGCCAAGGTTTGAAGTTGTCTGGAACATTTTGCATGCTATGGAGCTGATCTGGCCCTCGGCTGGTGCGCTGCCCAGTCCATTTCTGACTTGTCCATGGCAATATTGTGCGCAAATGGCAAAGATCAAACCCACTTGAGCAATTTCCTAACATTTCCCCTTACCAGGCAGCTGTATCAGCTTTAGGAGTCTAAAAAGCATCAAACATGCTCTTACCAGCTGGGCAGCCTTTTTCTCCAGGAACTTTTTCATATCCAGGACAGCACTCGTAACTGATTACTCTGGAATAAGAGATGGATACAGCAGATTAATGGATGGCATCTCACTGCTGTTTCTCTATTTGCTATAGTTCTGCATCCATCCATATTTGGAGATGTTTCTAAGCAAACTCTTCATTAGAAATACAGACTTGGAAGAACAGCAAACCATGATTTTTATCTCCTTCAGGGCTGTGTGTTGCCAGTTTCACCACAGAAAAAAGCAGGGGCAATTTCTTTTCAATACCACACTTTCCAGGAGAATTCATACAAACAGCGGATGGAAACCGATGCCGTGGTTCCAACAGATAACGTATGCAAGGCACTGCAAGTGCTGGTTCATTTGGGCACATTTCCCATGGGATTCAGGGATTTCCCTGGCTGATAGATCCCGAAAAGGGCCCTGGAGCTGCTGCGAGGGCTGGAGCAGCTCTGCTCTGGAGCCAGGCTGAGAGAGCTGGGCTGGGGCAGCCTGGAGAAGAGAAGGCTCCTGAAGGGGAGACCTGAGAGCAGCTCCAGTGCCTAAAGGGGCTGCAGGAAAGCTGGAGAGGGGCTTGGGACAAGGGATGTAGGGACAGGCCAAGGGGAATGGCTTTAACCTGCCAGAGGGGAGACTGAGATGAGCTCTTAGGCAGAAGCTCTTCCCTGTGAGGGTGCTGAGGCGCTGGCACAGGGTGCCCAGAGAAGCTGTGGCTGCCCCATCCCTGGCAGTGTTCAAGGCCAGGTTGGCTGGAACTGGATGGTCTTTATGGTCCCTTCCAACCCAAACCCTTCTGTGATTCTATGATATTAACAGGGGAATAAAAAACCAGCAAGGAAAGAAATAAATCCAGAAGTTGTCCATTTATTTTCCACAGGGGATTCTTTCTCCTCTTGCTCTTACGCTTGGTGTGAAAGGAGCAAGGCCATCTGATTGATGGGCTAAGCCTGCGAGGGAATAGGTGCTCCTCCCAAAGACAAGTGTTTCCTCTGTGCTCCCGGTTGGATTCGAGACAAGGAGGATGCTGCATTGCCGAGCCTCGGCACACTCACTCACAGAGAAAGGAAAATCCTCAAGCTCCAGATATTTGTCATCATTTTAACACTGTTAACAAACACTGGAAATGCCTGGGGCTTAAGAGGGAATTCTTCAGGGTAATTAAGAGCCAGTAAGTGAAACAAATACCTGCTTTTCTGTGACAGAAGCAAATAAATTCCGTGTCATGGTTTCCTAAGAGAATTACAAAGCAAACCCAGACTGATTGTCTAGACATTATATATTCCATGTGGGAAAGAGTTTGCCTAAAGCAATCCCTTCCTTTGACTACTGGAGATCTTAACACCCTGCTGCTTTGCTCTCCCCAGCCCCCCTGTCTCGTGTTCATTAGAAGCACACACTTTCTCCCCCCACCACTTCCCTCCCCTACCTCCACTTTTTCTCCCTGGAAACTAACTCCAGTCTAGACAGTTCCCTTGGTTCAGAGCTGTAATCAAAGCCGAAGAGCTGATTAAAGAGAAATCATTCCAAAGTTCAGCATAAATAATTCCGGAGTGCTGACGTAGGCTTTAAAAGGCTTATTTATAGATCGATCAGAGATTAATGAGCTGTGAGGAAGGGGCAGGATGCTGATGCACACAGCGTGGGGCTCACTGGCTCAGGGCTGCCCCAGCAGCCAGGCTCCTGCCAGGGAGGGATGGAAGGACCAGGTGTTCATAGAACCCCAGCCAGGTTTGGGTTGAAGGGACCTTAAAGCTCCTCCAGTTCCAACCCCTGCCACAGGCAGGGACCCCTTCCACTAGAGCAGCTTGCTCCAAGCCCCTGTGTCCAACCTGGCCTTGAACACTGCCAGGGATGGGGCAGCCACAGCTTCTCTGGGCACCCTGTGCCAGTGCCTCAGCACCCTCACAGGGAAGAACTCAGCGGGTTCATGGGCATCTCCAGCACCACCCCACAAGGGAAGCTAATGGCAAGAAGCACTGAGGCTGGGCATGGGGCCAGCTCCATGCATGCAGGGGTTCCCTCAAGCCCCCAGTCCCCTTCACCCACTGAAGGTGGCCTACCAGCATCACCTGGTGTGCATTTTGCATGCCAGCATTTTGAGCTGCGTACCAGAAAGCTTCTGCAAGGGGCTGGGTGAACACAGAGGTGCTCAGCCGGGTGTCTGCACCTACAAGGAGCCAGAGATGGGGATTGCAAAACAGCTTCAGCTTCAGCCGTTTGCTGTTCCATGGCTGGTGGCTTTGATGGAAGCACAAGGCCACTCAAAGGCACGTGGGCACCATTCAAGGGGCAGCTTGGGGCTGGGCACAGGGCACCCTCACAGATGACTCTGCAGCCCCTCCAGCCCTGGAGAGCAGCAGCACAGCCATGGTGGACTCTGCATCTTGATGCTACTGGACCCTATACATCCACATGGGAGGAAGGCTGCTCCTTTGACATGTTCTCCTCCAGTCTGCTGCCCAGGAGGAGTAGTTCTCTTACATGGCCAGGGACAAACAGCCCATGGGAGAAAACACTGAACACCTCCCCTGCACCTCACCACGGGTTCTGCATGGAAGCCTTTGGAGTGCCAGGTCCATCCCTGTTTCTGGTGTCAGCACTGCAGAGCACTACACTGGGACATGGCAAATGCCACTGATGTAAGTTAAACAAGCAATTGCCTCACACAAAGAGCATTTGTCATCCCCTCTGCAACGCCTCTGACCACAGTTTCCTGGCCTCCCCATTGAGTAATTTCGAGTCAAATCTATAGTTTTTCAGCTTCTGGGTTTGAAACATTCTATTTGCTAAATGTCTATCAGGGTCTGGGTGCAGAAGCAAGCTCCCTGGCTTTATTGGTCTTTGTGTCACTGCTGTTGCATTCTTAGGATCTGAAATGAAATCTTAAGTACATTTTTCAAGGCAATAAAAATAAGCTTAGGCATCTATTAGTGAATAAAGATCCATTTGTAATCATTTCCTGTAATAAAATCCATATGTTTTGTGTTTGCAAAGTAAGTGCCAGAGAGTCATTTTTTCTCCGGCAGGAAAGTGCATCAGACAAGAAAAGGGAAGTTAAATTAAAAGTTAAAGAAGAAATGTATTAAGGGTAACTGACTGCCACCAGTTATTCCTCAAAAAATAATCAAACCTGAGATGTATGCAAGCTGCCTTTTCATTCCCAAGATGAAAAAGTGTGTGGGGACATGCTCAATTGCAACCCCAACCCTGGAAGAATGAGCCCGGTGCATAAGGGAGTATGGAAAGCACAGGCACAACGATGAGGATATACTCTAAATAAACTATTTCTTTGGCTTTGAAATAACCAAGAGTGGAAAATTACCTAATTACCCAAACAATCTTGTTTCAGTGCTCATTAAAATCAAAGCAGTGTCAGACTTCTTGCCAACTGTCTTATCTCACTTCATCAGCAATGATAAAAGATGTACAGAACCCCTCTTATCTAATTTCTCCCTCGCCCATGTGAGCCAACACTCCAGCAAAGAGAAGAAAAACAAATTAAAATGGGGCAGATAAAGAGGTAAGAGCCCTCTTCTGAGGCATGAGTGGGAATTTCCATCGTGCACATCCAGCCCCTGCCGAGCGCTCCACCCTTGAGGACCTGAAGATGCTGCAGGAGCTCAGCTTTGCTTCCCTGCCGTACCTCATCTCCCACTGACCTCCTCCCACACAACCTGTTTGAAACAGTGCTCAGAGGAGGAAAAGGAATCAAAGCAGTCAAAACTGTCTTCCTAGAGCCGTGCATCTGCACCTGCACCACACGTCCAACCTAGGGAGCCATTGACCCTTTAAGCAAATAAGGAGGATTATAGCCAGGTCAAATGTGAAGTAGGGGAGATGGGTCAAGTGTCTCCTATCCCAGGACTGCTCTTCTCACAGGTGGGATAAACCTCTTTTAGGTTTATCCATGAGGAGGAGAGAAATGACCGTGCTTATCCAGCTCCACCATTTTCCCTGGGCTGATGGAGTGGATCCCCCTGCCAATGGGAGGACCAAGCACACAGGAGAGGACTTCTGTCTATAGATCCCAAGCATACTCTGGATCCACCCAGTTATGCAGAGGAACATGCCAAATCCTGACTCTCTCTGGGATTTAAAGGCATCTGGTATTCCCAAAACCTCTCCCAGACCAGCTCAGTCCCACACAATAGGCCAGCTCCAAGGGTTTCTGCTGAGCACCATTAACTGTGTCCACATAGCACTGAGCACAGAGCAGCATCAGACCCCTTACGCTGGTTTAAGAATCTGACTGCCGTAGCGTGACGCATCGTGTCCTTTATGGCCCAAATGACTCCTGATTGCTTCCATATGCCAGGAACCCCAGGTCCAGTGGGAGCCATCACCAGCAAAGGTTTGTAATCAGAGCTGTCCCGGGGTCCTCTGGAAAATCTGAGTCAAGGCACGTGCCTTTTGTTCTGCACAAGCACTGCTAAAGGGCAAAGTAGGGCCAGGCTCAAAACTGACTAGGAAGAAAGAAGAAGACAATAACACCCATTGTGGAGATGATGCAAAGCAAAGAAGAGTGAGCAAATTCCATGTATAATGGGAACATTATCTCATAGGTTAACAGGCAGGTTAATGCTCTGTGCACTTTTCTCTCAGCGATGCATCACTGCATTGGACACTCGGGTAAAAGCAGAGTAAATGAGGTTAGAAGAGATCACCTCATCTCCCCAAATGAAATCATGACATAATGCCAGATGCCACTTGTTCCACCTCTTCCTGGAGATAAGCAGATGAGTTTGTCTCTGCCAAATTCAGCTGCACACTTGGGTTATGCGAGGTTAGGTTTTCATATGCTTTGGAGCTGAAGAAATCCATGGCTCGATCGCTTTGCCTTGCAGGGACTACAACAGCAAAGCTATCCCACATCCACAGCTGAGTCATGTTTTCTTTGGAGACCTTCTAAGCTACTCTGTTATCAGAAGAGGCAATGATGATACCATATTGCCAGGCCATAATCTTGCCCATTTTACGTCAAAAAAGCCACTATTCAGCCAAGATGAGAACTTGAACTCTAATCCCATAAATAAGGTCTTCCAAGATTTAGTGGGTTTGAAGAATTAAGGGAAGGGAGTTGGCCTTTTTTTTTTTACAATATTCTCTCTCCTTTTATCTTTCTTTGGTAGACTATTGGACATAAGGGAAACCACTACACATGCCCACTATATGGTCACCCTGCAATGCATCCTTCTGAAGTATAGATCTGTCCTCTTTTAGATGAATTCATGGGTAGCACGATGGAAGGCTGAAAGCTGTGCACAATGTTGACTGCTGTTTTGCCTTCCTCCTCTCTTTACCAACGCCAGACCCACAGAATGAATCCCAATGGCCAGACATCACAACTAAACCAATGAAGGCAACCAAAAGAAAAGCAATATATCTCACCACAGTTCAAATCACAAGGTCTGCTGCTGACTACAGAAACAGAGTTTATGCAATCTACATAAAGAACTGTGTATTTCTATAGATCTATCTACAATTTACATTGGACCACATTGGAAACACATGAGATGATTTTATGCTCTTTGTTCTTGACCCTGCAGGTCCAGGACCAACCAGCCCCCCAGCTCTGACGCCCACATCCAGCACTGTTCAGAGCATCTCTGCACTGACACTGGGCGATGCGGTGGTGCTGAAGTACAGGACAGCAAACGTGTCTGAAAGCCCAGCTTGGCCTCCACTGAGGGGAAAGATTCTGTGCTCCTGACCTATACAGCCTGGCACAGAGTCAGGCATGCACAGCCTTAATTATCTGCTGACTACATCTTTCAAACGAATGTCCCGAGGCTGCTTACACAGATACTTGATGCAGCAGCTACTTGAATATTATTGTTTGCCATTTCAGACGTGGAATTGGCCTGCGAGTCTAATCCATTTTCCTGGTGGAATCATCAGAGTGTGCTGGCTAAAAGTGACACCTCTTTCCCCTTATTTCTGTATTCCCTTCCAAAGCAAACACACATAGATGAATTTTATGTTCTCTCCAATATCCATCAGCTCTGGGTTGCCTTTCCTCCCCCTCTTTTTTTTTGGTTTTAAATCTAGGCAGCATTGAGTATGGAGACAGAGCTAAATACTAGAAAACATCTGGCACACACTTCATTACAGCACAGAGGGCAATTATCAATATATATAGAAAAGCAGAATAAACCATCAGGGTTTATATTTACATGGTACTTCCCATTCTTAACATCTAAGTGCTTTAGGATGATGGTTGCCATTTGAGGAAAACACTAAGATTGCTTAGGGAGTAAAAGGCTAAACCGGTTCCTACGACATATGCACACTAAACCCACGCCGTGGGCTGTGGCATCCCATGTCTGTCACACCATCTGCTTCTCCCACCCAGCACCCACCTCCACAACGGGCTCGTGTGGGAGGCCCTGGCCACCACTCGTGTACTTACGTTGACTTCCCGCAGATCTTCCTCTGGTACCACTGCTTGCAGTTGGTGAAGTATTTCCTGTTCGTGCCGATCAGCTTCTGCACCGCACACACGTTGGGGCTAAAGGTAAAGACAAAGCAGAAGAGGGTCCTGTAAGCCTCCCTCCTTCCAGTGCTGACCCCCAGCACGGAGCCAGACCCCATTTGACAGTGCACAACAAGCCCTGCTGGGGCTACAAGGGAGGAAACTGAGAGCTGCAAGATGACTTGCTCAGTTTGAGTGTATAATGACTATCATGAGGTGGATGGAGGAAGCAGGGAAGGAGATCTTCGCTCTGCCAGGGCATCTTTATCTTCACTGAATCCCAAGTTTTTCCCATGTTCCACCTCTCACCAAAATATAAAGAAATTAAGTCAAAAATAACACTTTGATTAGTATTCACATGGTGAACAGCACTCACAGTTTGGGATCTTAGAATCCCAGCCTGGTTTGTGTTGGAAGGGACCTTAAAGCTCCTTCAGCTCCAATCCCTGCCACAGGCAGGGACCCCTTCCACTAGAGCAGCTTGCTCCAAGACCCTGTGTCCAGCCTGGCCTTGAACACTGCCAGGGATGGGGCAGCCACAGCTTCTCTGGGCACCCTGTGCCAGCGCCTCAGCACCCTCATAATAAAAAGTTATGAAATAATTCAAATCTTTCCAAACCCCCTTATTATTTTATCGCTTAGGATGTGAAAATAGACATTTATCAGCCTAGGGACCAACTTGCACCAAAACCAGAACAGGTGCTTTTGCTCTAGGATAGACTCAGCCAATTCTGGCCACAGATGCTGAGCTGCTGATAGGAAAATGAGCAGTGGCACTGCCCACTCCTGTTTCAAGACACCAGGTATGACAGCACAGATTGAGAGTGACTCTACCAGCCCATAAAGGACTGAGAGCTCCTTCTCTACCAGAAGAGCAGACGGTTGGCGTTATGTGTGTAACTGACCCCACTGGGAGCTAACTCAGCCTTTCGGCTTTCTAAGAAGTGATATCACTGCGAGCAAAGATGTGGTCAAACAGGAGTTGGGAGTTTTCTTGCTGCTGGTTTGGCCAGCACAGCATTTCCCTGCTCAGCCTGGCTTTGTGGTTTATGGCCAGCAGCCCTGGCCATGGATGCAGGCAATGCACAATCAGTGCATGAGATATGATTTCTGGATCTGGGTTGTGAGGCCACTGCCTGCCTCTGTGCTTGAGCCAGAGATGTAGCAAACATCCAAGCAAGCTGAGGATGCTCAGCCCAACTGAGGCTGGATTCCTAACACCAACACAATGCCCCAGTTGAGGCAGTGTCTCCAAAAGTATGCACAGTGTTGGCTGCCAAGGCAGATAGAGGGAAAACAAGCAATTAAGCAAAATCCATAAATCACCACTTCGGCCCATCAGAAGTGCTCAACAACTTCAAGGCAGAGTTTTCGTGTGCACAAATGAAACTCTGGATGGGCCTGGAGTAAAAGTCTTGTTGATCTGTTTAGCGCAGCAGCCTCCTGTTTCACACTGACTTTGACTGGGATGCTGCCCGCCTGCCTACCAGAGTTAACAAGAGCAGAGCTTGCAGCCTGACCACCAAGTCTTCCTGCGACCAGCTTGCTTTTCACCAGCGTCCCAAATTCAGCTCTCTCCAAAGCAGGCCAGCCTGCCCATCATTAGCATGAATTAATGTGAGGGTCTCCTATATGTTGGCTAAGTCCAGCGCCAGTCTCAGCAGGAGCTTGGCTTGCCTTCAATGAGCCTTTGTTGACGTGGCTGCCACAGGGCCCTCAGAGGCAGGATCCAACCCTGCAAAGCCCTGGCACCTCCGTCCTGCCCCGAGGGGAAAGGGGAGGTCTGTGGGACCTGGAGGAATTGGGTTCACCACTCCCCTGGTTACTGCCATATCCAGTTAATGGTGGTTTAGTTCCCTTTCTATATATAAGGCAAGGGACTAGGAGAAAGACAGTACTGAAGATAGAAATCACAAAGTTACAAGTTAGAAATCACAAAGCCAAACTTTCAGCTGGTCAGACGGGCCTGGGCTCAGTAAGTTCCACACCAAATCATCTCTTAGAGCTGTCTGTGCTCCCTGACTCAGCCCACCTCGGCTGCCCAGCCCCGCCGTGCCGCAATATGGTTCCAATTATATCCAAATTCCAAGCCTTGCCTTGATTTCAGCGTCTGGCTGACGGCAGTGGACAATCCATCTAATATTCATCTTGACAAGCCTGGCTACTGAAGGACTTGTTTGATCACTTCCCCTGCATCCCTGGCAGCAGCCTGCCAAGAAAACCCTTGTGTCTTCAGGACAGCATCAAACCCAGCGCTGCCCTGCTCCCTCCTCCCTGCCTGGGACTGCAGCTCTGTGGGGCTGCTGCTCTCTCCATGACTTATGGGGGGAAACTTCTTCCCACCAGCATGGAAAATCCCCCTCCAGGGCCGTGTTATCAATGATTCCCGCAGGCAGGCTGTAGTAGCGGCTCCCTGCGGTGCGTGTTCTGGTCTTTTGCCCAGTCGGGCTTAAAATGAATTTGTCAACACTCTCCCCTCTCCTCGTTGGAGTTCATCACCTCTGCCATGCCGTTCCCAGCCAGCCGCGCTGACTCGAGGATAAAACTGCCTATTGTTCCCTTTCAGCTGAAGCCTTCCACTTGGCAGGAGCAGCTGGGAGCTGCTGGAGCCGCGGCTGCCCTTTGGAAGTGGCAGAGAAGGGCAGGATTTACCGTATGGGCCAAGCTACCTGCCATGGCTATGCATGCCCATGAAGCTCCCCAGCATCACACAGTACCCACAAAGCCAGGTGGGTGCTCCTAGGTTTTCATTTTCAAAAGTTAATGCTCCTGATACACTTCTCAGCTCCTCCACTGGACTTGAGCTGATTCACTTTAAAGGTTCATTAAGATGTACAAGTTTTGCTGCAGAGCCACCCAACTCGCTCTCAGCTCAATAGGGGCATTGATGGTGGGGGGGGATGCTCGCAGCAGAAAGGGTGGCACATCCCTCCTAAGTTCCCTCCTGTAAGCAAAACAACATGCCTCACATCCCAGGCCTTCTTGGCTGGTTTTGTGTTGCTGTATCTCTTTGGCACATCATTAATCACTGTTTAACATTCAGCTTGGTCTAAATTGCTCTCTCCATCAAAGGGACCAGTGAGCACAGTGCTGCGGTCAGCTACACTGGGTTTATCTCAGCGTAACTTCACTTCGTCTGGAAACTCTGGAATACTAATTCCTTGTGTATTCCAAATACCTCAGGCACCAGCACTCACCTCTTACCCTGTGACTATTGATTGTACAGGGATTAACAGGCTTCTCTGCAGAGATGAGTGCACTGATTTACATCAGGACTAACTTTCTGAGTCTGAGCAAACTTCTGCCTCGGGGCTATCAGCAGAATTGGGTATTTAGTGAGTTTAAGATCACACAGAGATGAAGACTCACAGCATTTGTGTGTAAGGCACCGTCATCCCTTCATTACCGAGATCTTACAAACAGGCATCAGCTCAGCACTTAATGCACCTCATCAGACACGCAAACAGCACACCCCTGTTCACAACCACTGAGCTGGATCCCTGCCAGAGAACGTGTCAAACTGCAATAGTTAAGTCTTGGGGGGCTTTTTAAAAGCATTTTATGACCCTGCCTTCAGCAAACCATTTAAATGGAAGCTGCAGTTCAATCAATGTCACCCTCCTGCACGACGGAAGCCAGCTGAAAAGTCTGTCATCCCTTCACCTCCCTAATTCCCAGTACATTTTAAACACAGTGAGAAGAACTGTTAACATTGGGTTAGTTTTCTGCCTGTCCATGAAGACTCAAGCTACTCAGTCCATAAGACACTGTCCATCTAGCACGAGAGGTCTACACGCATTTCTGGATACCCCTTACCTTGGAAGCTTTATGAGTGAATAAGTGATCACTTTCATCCAGAAAACTTCCAAGACTTTTCAAGACATCCATAAAACTTTCCAGACTTTGAGTGGGGGTTCCCCTCAAAGAGGAAGTTGCTGCTTAACTCCACAGAGACACTCCCCTGCCATTGAACCAATTCCCTTGCTATAAATTCATGAAAATGAGAATTCCTGAATCCCTTCCACAAAACGTTTGACCCTTCAAAATCTGGGGATTTTTTTTTTCCCTTTTCCCTTAGCAGGGATATGCTGATAAGGAATCACTGGCGGCTCGATGCAACGTTAAGCATCCCGAGAGAAGAGAGGAAAGTTGTCCGTAGAAGAAAGAAGTCACTCGAGGGCGATAGAAGCAATGATCCGAGAGATAAGGGAAGAAAAAGCCGTTCTCGGGGCCGAAAGCACCGTGGCTGCCTCCCCGGGGACCGGGCCGACCTGCCGCTGTCCCGCTCCGGCCCCGGGCTCCGCGGCTCCTCCGCAGCCGCGCAAAGAGCCGACGGCGGCAGCGGGATCCGTGCAAACGTGGGGAGAAACAATTCCCCCTCACTGTCCCCTCCTTTCCCCCCTCGGGGATGCGCTTACCCGTGCTGCCGGCCGCGGAGCCGGCTGTGCTGCAGGACCTGCTGGTACGGGGACTTGGCGGCGGCGGCGAGACCCAGGGCCAGCGCCAGCAGCAGCGGCAGGGGCGGGCGCGCCATGGCCGGGAGGCGGCGGGACGGGAACGGGAACGGGATGGGACGGGACGGGCCGGCGGCGGCCGCTCACCCCGTTAAATGCGGCGGCGGCCGGGGGCGGGGAGCGGCGGCGAGGGGGGGAGCGGAGCCACCGCCCGGCCCGGCGGGAGGGGAGGGGAAGGGAGAGGAGAGGGGGCCGCCCCCCGGGATGGCGCCCGTCCGTCCGTCCATCCATCCGGTCCCCCCATTCGGGGCTCAGGATGGGGCGGTTGCGCTGACACGCTCCGGGGTCCCCTGGATCTCAGCCCCAGGGTGGGCTTCTGGGCTGCCACCCGGCCGTGCCCCACCACTGGTTTGGATGCGACCCCATGGCGGGACCCGCTTAGTGCGCGCTGGGATCGCACCTCACTCCCAGCATCTTCCAGTGCTGGCAGGGATCACACGTGGTGAGAGGTTGCTGGTTGCTTTTAAACCAAGCAAGAGCTGTAAGGGTGCCATCGGCGTGTCCTCGTGGCCAGGGTGCTGTTGTTAACGGCTCTGGGGTGAAGCCTAAGAGGGAGTTTTGGCACAAGCAACCCCACTGCTCTGAAAGGTCACAAAGGTGCTTGTGGCTGATGGGACAGGCACCAAGGGCCAGCCCTGGCCCTGCAGCCATCCTAAGAGCTCACATGGAAACCTCATTTCCAGCCAAGGGCAGAGAGTGGCGGTAGTGCTTGTAAAGGTGATGGTAGCGGAGAAGTTAGACCCTCACTTGGGGCTCCCACTGTGCTCATCACCACGGGCTTAGAGGAGAGAGCCCTTGCACAAGTCCTGAAGGGGTCAAACTGTGGGTGAAGCACAGCGAACTGAGGTTCCTCATGCAATGCCACGCACAAAGGGGCAGGGGAGATTCCAGTCACCCAGTCCCCAGTCTGTCTAACTTGACTCACCGCCACATCCCACTGTTTGCAATGGATTTGCTCTGACCAGACTGACACCAAAGCTGAAGGGCTCCTTCCTCCCTAAATCCTCCTGGGAAGCAGAAGGGGTCCTTTGTGGCCACTTACCCTTGGGACAGCCTCCTGCACAAACCTCATGTGGCTTCGCAGGCTGGGCAGTGGCCAGAAAGGGCAGCTGCTCTGCAAGGGATGGGAATTAAAACACATCCAGTGAGCAGCCACTGAGCCAAACAGGAGAAGTCTTAAGCAAGAATAAACACTTTGGATTTACAAAGATTTTATTCCCCCCACAGTAAATAAATCTGATTATTGTAAACAGCGTCAGTGCTTCTCGGGTAGAGTACACAAACCCATTGCTCAGTTGGGTTTCCCTTCCCTAGGAGTGCCTCATTGCTGCCTCCGTCTAAGTAGGTGAATCATGAAGTCCTTACCTGCACAGGCTCGCTCATGGCTCCAGCCTAAAAGACAAGAAATAGAGGTTTTAGGTCTTAGCAAGGAAAAGGCAGAGTTTAGAACCCTCTTGGGTATTGCCTAACCCAAGCCTTTCCCACCTGCACCCCTGTAAAACAGAGGTATTTTAGGAGTGCCTCCAGTGCTCCATTTAAACAGAAGGGAGGAGTGATCTGTGCTCTCCCCAGAACACAGTGACTTGGTTCCCTGGCTCTGGATGAAGATTTAGAGCTGTGAAGCCTCATCTGATGGATGTGCATTTTTCCAGGCCACAGTTAGACCCCTTTACCCCAGAAGGGAATGAGCCTTAAAATTCCCTCCTCCTCTACCAGCCACTAATTATTTTTTGGCCAGGAAAAAGCTTAAAGCTCCTAAAAAGTGAATCAAAAAGAGGAGGGAGATCACAGCAAAGCCATTGCCAACTGCCAGGTCCTCCAAAATCAATAGCTGGTTGTAATCTCTCTGCAAAGAAGAGCAGCAAAGGTCCCGCATGGTGCCATTCGCACAACTGATTTATAGACCTGTAAGCTTCACCCCCAAGGAGCAGGAACCCCAGATCCTCCTCCCAGCAGTACAGGGCTGCCTGTCCTGGGGTGAGCTCCCTGGGATCACCATGTTCCCGTTCTGACCTTCCAAAGCCAGGGTTCACATCCTCCAGACACCAAACCCCGCGCTGCAGTCAGCAGAAGTTTGTTGAACCCAAGACGTTGGAAATGAATCTTTGTTTTTCCAAGTGATGTGCTTTCCTGGAGACTTCCAAAGGCAAACAGCGGGTGAGGAGGGACGAGCTGCTGCGGGGGCTTGGGGCTGAAAACGGGGACACGCTGCTTTTCCTGCCCCGAAAAGCATGGAGCCGTTGTGCTGAGATACACAGAGCAAGGCAAAGGCAGGATGGGAAAACCCGCAGTGCATGGCAGGTGGGCAGAGCTGGTGCATTTGCCATGAGGGCAGCTGAGAGCTCAGGAAGAGCATCATCTCCCATGGAACATCATCTCCCATGGAACATCATCTCCCATGGAATATCATCTCCCATGGAACATCATCTCCCATGGAACATCATCTCCCATGGAACATCATCTCCCATGGAACATCATCTCCCATGGAATATCATCTCCCATGGAACATCATCTCCAGCAAACCCCATGGGCAAATTCACTGTTTTTACCTACCATGCTGGTTTCCTTCCTCCCCATCCCTCCCTCCCACTCCTGCTGCCCCCTCGTTCTTCTCCAGTGCATCCTTATTCATTAATCCCCTCCGGCAGGACTCTCTGTACTGACCCAGCCTTCAATTAGCTTCTGTGGATCTGCTTAAGAGCGGTTCAGCTGCTGCAAAGAGACATTCAAATACAGCAGGCTATGAGGCTGTGACAAACCTGTTTGTGAATGACCACTGCTTTGCTTTGCGCTTGTTTTACCCTCTGCTTTCAGACCAGTGTTTAGTTTGCAATGGACTCTCTGCACACTCATACAGATAGTCGGGAATCAGTCACATAGAAAATAGCACTTACACAAATAGACACGTTTCAGAGTGAGCAAGAAGCAGAAATAACAGCTGCTCCACCGAAAGGCAGGGATCGCAAGATGTGCCCTAAGCCAAACAAAGACATCTTCAGCAATAATAAACTTCTATTATGTAAAAAGCTTTTCCTCTATGAACAAATGTGAAGGCTGATATTACTGAATCACTAATCATAGAATCATAGAATAGTTAGGGTTGGAAAGGACCTTAAGATCATCCAGTTCCAACCCCCCTGCCATGGGCAGGGACACCTCACACTAAACCATGGCACCCAAGGCTTCCTCCAACCTGGCCTTGAACACTGCCAGGGATGGAGCATTCACAACGTCCTTGGGCAACCCATTCCGGTGCCTAATAGCATAAGCAATAATTCCCATTGTAAACAGATATAGTGATGTTTGGTAAAACCCACATCCCTGCAACAGGCTGAATCTCCATTTCATTTCCAGCTGTGGTTAACGGTGGTTTCAGGTTGGATTTTTTCCCCACACCAGCCTCTATTCTCATTTTGACAGACTGAGCAAAAGCCCTGAAAACAGCTCGTAGCATAGAAACATAGAATGGGTTGGGTTGGAAGGGACAGTAAAGATCATCTGGTTCTGACCCTCTGCCATGGGCATCTTTGTTGTGCTCTTCATTTTACTCTCATGGCATTTATGAGACAGACCAATGCTGTGCCAAGAGGCACAGCCCCGTATGGGAGCCTGAGCAGCTCCAGCACAAAAGGGGCTGAAGCAAATAAATAATCCAGGTAAATGGAATCAGTATATCTCAGGAAAACCTTCCCTGGCAGCAGCAGCACTGACAGACAGGGGTTCATGCCTGGTTGGGATTCAGCGGAGGAGTCAGCTGGTGGGAAATGACCTTAACCATGAGCCTGTCAATATGCTGGTATGAAATAGACCCCAACTCACTCCACATTCTCACTTTGTTCCCTGTTTTCACTATCAGTATTAATATCAAGGGAAAAGATTGCCCTTCTGTGCCTTTTCAGGTCATTTTTGAACAACTTCTTCACCCCAAATGCTCCCACACTCGCCTTTTGGGTCTTCTTTCCATGCCCTATGTGCTAGCGACGTGGCAGATGCTCCTTCACACCACACTCTTGCTTTCACACATCAGCCTTGTAAAAAGATCCCGATAAAGATCACATAATCCTCGTCATTTCCCTTTGTAGACAGCTCCATTTGATGTGTCCAGAGCCTGCTGAAAAAGGAAGAGAACTAATCCCACTTGCCTCCGCCGCACGCAGCGGGAAATTCATGGGATTTATGTTCCAGCTCTGCTCAAAACTGTGTCCAAAGTCCCTCCGTATGCATGAAGTGTTATTATTATGCACAGTAAGTTCTAGGTCAGCAACTGGAACAGAGGCAGGCAGCATGAGCTGTCTCTGAAACCTCAGAAGAGCCTGTCTGGCCATTGAGAGGTGTGACACATGGTGGAGATTAAGCATAAAAGGCAAACCCACCTATGGAATCATAGTATGGTTTGGGTTGGAAAGGACCTTCAGATCATTCAGTTCCAATGCAGGGGCATCTCACACTAGACCTCCAGTGATCGAGGGGAGCTGCCCTGAGTCAGCTCATGAGATTTAAAGGCATCGCATCATCTTGTCCTTGGGGAGCCAAAAAAGCAATTATACATAATATTCTGCTCCTTTTTTTATATCACTGTGATGGAAGAAATATGTGCTTTATCTTCTCTGGTATAAACTGAACAATTCTCTTACCTCATCCTTTAAGCTTGTAATTATCTTGCCACAGTAGATACTTTGAGATAAATCTCTTTAAGAACACCTCTCCATTGCTGTTTCTCTCTCGTACGCTGACAAGCACACACACAAAACAAACCCACTGAAGAGCATGAGTAGTGCTGTGGGGCCAAGCTGATATCCCCTCATCTGTTTCCTATTTTCCCCTCCTTCCCCCTGCCCCATATTGCAGATATATGATACAGTAAAATTAGAGAGCAGGAAGTGACACGAAGTAGCAATTCAGCTTTCAGGGAATAATTCAGTGTCACTTAGCCATATTGTCCATACATGACAAAGAAAAAAGACAGATAGAAAACAGCTCCCCTAAGGCATTTCTAGCTCTCACATGTTCCCATTTCATTCCTTATCCTGCAATTTGTCTTCTTGGTTTCAGCAAGCCAGCAGTGAAGTAGAAAACCCCTAAGAAATCTTATTCTGACATATCTTTCTGGGGAGTATTCATTTCCAC